CAGCATCATCGTCATGGTCAGAGTGGTCATGTTTATCCACATCCTCCTCATCCTCATCCTCCTCCTCATCATCCTCCTAGTGCCGGCTTCTGCTCCTCATCCACATCCTCATCTCGCCCTTTGCTCCTCCTGCCCCCCGCCGGCCTCCTCCTCCTGCTTCTCCTACTCGTCCTGCCTTTTGTTTTTCCTCCTCCTCCCCCTCCTCTCCGTCCTTGGGTTCCTCTTCCTCATGGAATGTCCTGCATCTTCATGGGGCTTCCTGTTGTCACCCCCCTTGGGGCCTCCTGCGGCCTCCTTGGGCCCCCCGTTGTACTCCCGGGACCTCGGTGCATATCTACGGCCTCCTGGTGCCTCCTAGGACTTCTTGGTCGCACTGGGGCATCTTCGGGTTTTATTATGCCTCCCTGGGCCACTTGAGGCCTTTGGTGGTCTCCTATGACTTCTTGTGGTTTTCTGAAGCACTCCGAGGGCCCCCGTTCCAGACCTCCTCGGAAGTCCCTCACGATCGAGGTCCACGCTCGAGACATGCTGACAATGTTGCTCATGCACGAGGCCTGCTCGAGATTCAAGTCGGCTGCGGCGCCGCCAGCAGCGCCCTTGCCCTTGGAGATGGCTTGAGCCTCGAACCTGGTCTTGGAAAGCTTGCCCGCGGTTGTTGTCATCTGCTGTTTCCTGTCACCCTTGCGTTGCTGCTGCGAGAGTAGAACCTGGTGGATCAGGAGCTGGCGCTGCTAGTGGTGCTGATAATGCTGCTGCCGTCCCGTGCGCCGCCTTGGGCGCCGTGGGCTCCTCCTCCATGTTGGCGGGCCGTGGGCCCTTGCAGTGTTTTTTGAAGGGCAGCGCTGTTTTGGATGATTACTGATGAATGCTGCTTGCTGTAGATTGGCTTGCACCACTTCTCCCTCAAACCTGATCTGCTCTCCGAAGTTGACGAGGTTCTCGTGCAACATCATCATATGATGCTTCTCCTGCTTGCCAGGTTGCATAAATAACACCGACTCGTCCTACGACCGGTTGAGGTTGGGTTTCACTGAAGTCTTGCTGGCTGGTTCGCCGTCATCTGGCTCTTTGGTCTGGCCTCCGACAAGCTTGGCGAAACAAATGAAGTCTGTCTCCTGGCCTTCTCTGCCACAGCGATCTGCTTGAGCGTGTCGATCTCATCTCCTGTCTCCGACCTCTGCTTGTCGGATTTATGGTTCGCTGTCTGCTTGGCCTAGGCGAGGACGCCGGAAGAGGGAGCAGGAGGATAGTTATTCCCAAGCCAGCTCGAAGAATGCTGTCGTCCTACCGTCGGAATCATGAAGTCCGGGCAAGCTCAATGATTGCCAGCGTGGGCTCTGGGCGCAAGGTTTTTCAACGTTCGATCTGCGTTCAACGTGGGGCAGTGTCTGCGGTGCTGCCCACGTGCTGGTGCTATACGCACCTCGAGGACCGCGCCGCGTCGCAGCCAGGCCACCTCGAGGACCACCTCGAGGACCTCCTCGAGGACCTCATCGAGGACCACCTCGGTGCTGTACGCACCTCCTCGAGGACCTCCTCGAGGACCTCCTCGAGGACGCTGCAGCCAGCGAGGCAGCGTCCTCGGGAGCGGCCGCGGGGCACCAGGCGCCGCGCATCGCAGCGCCAGCGGCAACAGCGGAACCAGAAGGGCGTCAGCGCAGGGCACCACCGGTGTTTTAGGCTGGGCCTGTCTTGGCGGCGCGCACAATGGGGTGGGGGGAGGGGGGAGGGCTTCTTAGAAGCAGGCTGCTTCTTAGAAGGCGCCGGTCTTACATCTGTAGATAAGGCCCGCGCCTTCTAAGAAGCAGGGGTGCTTCTAAGAAGCCTTCCCCCCTCCCCCTATTCCGAGGCCCTATTCCCCCCCCTGCGCGTGGCCGACTGTCCCCCTGCAGGGGGATTGTGGATGAAAAAATAGAAATAGTCGGCAAACATACCCCCAAAACGCTCAGAAGTTCTCAAACAGTCGCCCCAAGACCATGCTACAACTATTTTGGAATATTCCTCCTGTAGAGGGACAGGCCCGACTTAACACCAGTGTTCGGGCCCCACAGTCGCCATCGCCGCGCCCATGGGCGCCTGGCCAGTCGCCCCTGCCAGGGCGACTCCAGCGAATTTGCTTGATGCCGCTCTGCTGCAGCACCATGCCTGGTTCTGCACATCTCGAGAGTCGGCACTTCATGCTACGAGGCGCCCCAGAATGGTGTCCGAAGAGATGGGGTATGAGAGACGTGCCGCATCGCCGGTGCATTGTCCATCGCCGCCGTGGGCGTGGCGGGAATCGAGTTCGACATCGAGCCGCATCGCCAATGCATCGGCGATGTGGCGCGATTCTCCGACCAAATCTACTCGGACCCTTCCTGGGAGGCCTAGAATTATTGTTTGCGTCGGCCCCCGCCGCGCAGGCTTCGAGGGTACGCTGACCTCCTCGGCGACACCGATGTCGCACGAGGGCGGGCGGCGCCGGGTCAACACCAAGACGCACCACGGTCGAGCACGCATGCACGGATTGCACATGTGAGCCTCCCGGGACGTACCACGCTCTGTACGGTCGGCATTTTTTCCATAGCGAGTCGCGGCGGCGGCCCGGAAGATACGCTATGCCCTACGAGCAGATAGCGTGTCGATCCGCTCCAGGGGGCGGAGGCTCGGAACAGCTCGGGACGTTGACGCCTCGGGACGGACAGCGAAGTCGATAGCGTGTCGCACCAAAGCGTGGTGGGCCAGAACCGGCGGAGCGACACGCTAAGCCAAAGTTCCCGACTGTATGGCCCCAGGGCGGACCATCCCCGAGCTGGCGCGCTCGGATGGTTCGCGCGGAGGAGCTGGGACGCGCCGCTGGCTGGCCCAGAGACGCACTAACCATAGGCGAACGGGAAAACGTACACACACAAACGCCCGCACACACAAACACATACACACACACACTCACACACACTCACACACACACAGACACACAGACACACACGCACACACAGACGCGAAGTGCACCTGGGTCGGCGCTGGGAAGCACCAGTGTCCTGACTGGGCATGTACTCTCCTCGGGCCAACAAGTTTGGAATGCGCCTGCGACGGTCCCGGGACACAACACTGTCAGACCCTGGGACGGCCCATCCTTGGGACAACGAAGGTTCGACAGAACGGCTGATGTGACTCTGTGATGGAATACGCCCCGGGACCAGGACGGAGCTGGGACGCACCATTGTCCGGCCCAGAGACGCACCATGCTCGAGCGGGCACACCCTAGATGTGGGCGGGACGATCAGATCTGATGTGCCGCGACCCTCTCAGAGGACCCGATTCGTGGTGCAGTATGTGAAGTGCGAGCTGCGTGGTGTAAGCTGTGTGGTGCCAGCTCTGCGGTGAAATCTGCGTGGCGCATGTGGTGCAATCTATAGGGCAAGCTCTGCAGTGCAGGCGATGCGGCCGCGCACGGGCGCCCACGAGATGTACAAAGGTGACAGCGGGCTGATGCCAGGCGACGCCTCCGCAAGTCAGGCAGCGTGGCGAATCGTCGGCAAACTCAACGAAACTGAGTGCTAAGTTGCTACGCTCCGAGACGGCCAAGAAGGCCCCCAAGACTGCCCCGAGACTGCTCAAGAGGCTCCGAAGGGAGCTCTAAGACGGCCCAAGAGGATTCCAAGACGGCCCAAGAAGCGCCCAAGAGGGCACACAAGAGGGCCCAAAGACAGCACCAATGATTGCCCAAGAGGTGGAGCACGTCAGACAATTCGAGCCTTCCGAACATCATCAGCAACATCACCAGCATCATCCTCATCATCCTCATCATCCTCATCATCCTCATCATCATCATCATCATCATCATCATCATCATCATCATCATCATCATCATCATCATCATCATCAGCATCAGCATCATCATCATCATCAGCATCAACACCAGCAGCAGCAAAATCATCAACATCATCAACATCACCACATATCACCATCACCATCGCCCCTGACGGGCTCATCGACTCTGCACACAGACACGCACCAAACCCCCAAGCCAGCCACGTGCTACGGACCTCCGAAGACTAGAGGTGCAAGATAACATACGTTAGGAACTCTGTGCCACCTCGCGCACAGACCACCGAGAAAGCTGGGCTGGCACGGTGACAGGACTTGCCGCAGGCAGCTGGGTTTAATCTGCATGCGGAATAGGAAGCCCACGGGGAAACACTGTTTGTGAGAAGGGTGCCAATCCAAACCCAGTCCCCAGGGAGCGCCAACATGAACCCAGTTGTCTTTTTTTCTAGGGTCCCATGACCCATCCAAGCGGCCCTTAAGGCGTAAAATCGATAATTATCCTGCTTTATCTCTGTTCTCTCTTTCTCTCTCTCTCTCTCTCTCTCCCTTTATCACTCCGTCCCTTGGATATCCATCCTTCCATCCCTCCATTCCTTCTTATCTCATTCCTCTACCCCTCCTTCCCCTCTCTCTCCTCCCTCCTCCCCTTCTGCACTCCTCCCCTCCTCCCTCCCACCCCTCCATCCTCCTATCTCTCCATCCCGTGGCCCCTCGATCAAACGCCCATGACTTGTTTCGCCGCTTCCCCCAGCTGCTTCCCTTCTGTATCCTACACCCCCTATCCTTCCATTCCTCCTGCGCTCCGCTCTTGCTTCCTCCTCCCTGGTTGTTCCCTTTTCCTTCAACTTCCGCACGCTCCCCTCCCTCTCCCTTCACCCCTCCTTCCGCATCTCGACATCCCATCTCCGTCCGCCCCTCCCTCGATCCATCCGTTCAACCCTCCATCCCTGCACTCTTCCCCTCCATTTCCCCCATCCCACTCCCCATCCTTCCTCTCCCGTCCTCCCTCCTCCCTTCCCCCGTCTGATCCACATTCGCCTGCTCATCATTTCTCGCCCTCTCCAACTCGATGCCCTCCTCGTGTTTCGCTCCCTGTTATGAGCCACGTTTCGGTTACAGCCCACAAGGGCCAGCAGCAGAGATATTTGTATCAAGAACTGGCGGATGTGGCGCTAGACCAGTGAATCAGAAGCATCACACACAACTCGTAGCGGCTGCTGGACACAATGGCCATCGCCCGCCGCTGCAACACTGATGAGCCGCATTCCAACAAGCGGTCGCAAAACCTCCGGACAGACCACGGCATCATCATCAACACGCTGGACCTCGAACCGAAGATGGTGGCCGACGGTGGAGCCGAGTCGAGCCAGAACTCGCGGAGGTCGAACGAGCGGATCGGGTCGTGCTGGATCAAGTCTTCGGCGCCAGTCGCGTGCGTCGGAGTCTGCACCAGGTCTTTCGACACGGTGCTCATTTGGCTCCCGACAACACTTGCACCCGCACTCGCACTCGCACTCGCACTCGCACTCGCACTCGCACTGGCACTGGCACTGGCACTGGCACTGGCACTCGCGCTCGCGCTCGCGACCGACTCCGGTATGCTCGGCATGCTCACGTTCGAGGTCGACTTGAAAAAGCCTCTGGCTCCGCTAGGCCTCTTGGGGAAGATGTCGGCGCTGATGGCAAGAGCAGCCTGCGGCGACAGGCCCGAGCTAGACGAGGTCGGCGACGACGCGGGCGGCAGCGGCAACCTCAACGGCCCCGTGCTGGCCGACGTCGGCGATGCAGGCTGCACCGGCACCCGCGGCTGCGGGCTGCACGTCGGCGATGTGTCCTGCCCCTCCCTCTCACTTACCTGTGGCATGTAGAAGCCGGACGGCCTCCGAGGAGGTGCCAAGGGGCGGAGATGGCCTCGCTCAGGGGGAGGACTGGCGCCCTGGAATCGGCGGTGCATCGCCGATTGATCGGCGATAGGCCCCCGATGGGGGAACCCGACGTTGCTGCGACGGTTGGGGCATTCAGGCCCCGAGCGGTAAGGAATGGACGATTGGGGCTCGTCGATGGTCCCCCTCCCTGCTCCGGAGCCAGCCCTTTCGGCACCCCCGAGCCTTGCATGATGCCAGGGGGAGCCTGGAAGAGCAAACAAACTGGATAGGGCGTGAGGGCATTGGATAAGGAACCGTGGATCAAGGGATTCAGGGTCTGGAAGCTGGTGGAATTTGAACAATGGATTGGCCATGGCTAATTCATACTGCATGTTGCATCCTCGGGAGACCTTGTCTGTCCCGTCGCGGCCCTATCCGCATTGAATCCGTGTCGAATCCATGTAGGCCTCGTCGGATCTGTGTCGAATCCGTGTCGAATCCGCGTCGAATCCGCGTCGAGTCTGCATCGAGCCCGCGTCGGGCACAAGGAACAAACAATACAAATTTGAGGCGACTGGCATGGGTCCCCCAAAAAGATGCAACGTAAGAATTCCCCCTCCCCCCGGGGCTGAAGCCTCATGGGCACGTTCCTGAACCAACGCCTCCACTTTGGACGCCCGAAATGGGTGCGGACAAAAAATGGGTACAATACCCAACAACTCATGTTGTCTCAAACCAATAACAGCCGCTGTTGGGCAGGCAGGCGGCCTTCTGACTCAAACGGACACGATCCGCGGCGACGCCGACAGCGAGTCCTGTTCAAAAGGAACAGGAATTGCTGTCGGTCTTTGTACACATTCTTTCCGTACGCGTCGTTCATTTCTAATCGTGCTCATTTCCAATTGTCCTCGTTTCAAATTGTTCCTGGCACCCTAGTGGCCAGGAAGGGGCCCAGGATAGAACAATCAGAAATGAAAGGATTTTGGCCCCCCCAAAAAAATCAAAGAACTCTCGAACACTTAGAAATGAACCACGTGTACCCATGTCGGTCTTCCCGATCCATCGTGAACACGGCCTCCCCAGAGCTCTCGGGCCGGCGCGGACCCCCCCCCCCTCGCCATCGCTCGGACGTCCATTCCCTGTGTTTTTTTCGGTTTCGTGCGTGTTTTTTTCGCCGAATGATCAAGGATGCTCCTCGATGTTCCTCGCCGAAGGGAAGATGCACACGTCCGAGCGATGCCAAGCCCCCTTCCCTCTCGCCTCCCAGCCCTGACCTTCCAGAGCGCCCAGAAAAAATCACACTCCGGACCTACAGACCTCTCTCGACGGCCTCGAACCCCGACAGGAACTCGTTGGATGCTCATTCTGGGGGCCTTCCTGGAGACACTCGCTCCACCCGTGCGTCGAAGCTGCGTCGAACGTCCGTCGATTTGAGTCGACCCTGAGTCGGTCCTGAGCCGAACCTGAGTCGAACCCGAGTCGAACCCGAGTCGAACCCGAGTCGAACCCGAGTCGTACCGGATTCGAACGCGAGTCGACCTAGAGTCGAACAGCTCCGCCAGGTGGGCCCCAGGAAGGTCCCCAAAACGAGCACCTAAAACTCGGACGTCGAGGTCCTGGTGCTAGCTGTTAGCCCTCCCGCACGGTCGGGGAGGAGGCCCAGACGAGGAGGGCCAGCCTCGGGACGGAGGAGCAGGGGAGGGCGGTCCCTGACCTTCTGGCGTGCTAAAAACTAGGCTCTCCGGACCTATTGGACCCATCTCGACGGCCTCCAGCCCCGGCAGGAGCTCGGACGTCGACGCCCAGGGAGGAGGTCAGGGAGGAGGCCCAGGCGAGGAGGCCAGGGAGGAGGCCAGGGAGGAGGCGCAGACGAGGCCCGGACGAGGAGGTCAGGTCAGCAGCCCTCCGGGAAGGCCCGGGGAGGAGGCCCAGGCGAGGAGGTCAGGAAGGAGGCCAGGGAGGAGGCGCAGACGAGGCACGGACGAGGAGGTCAGGTCAGTAGTCCCGGAAGGCCCCGGGAGGAGGCCCAGGCGAGGAGGTCAGGGAGGAGGTCAGGGAGGAGGCCCAGACGAGGCCCAGACGAGGAGGTCAGGTCAGCAGCTCTTCCGGAAGGCCCGGGGAAGAGGCCCAGACGAGGAGGGCGCCCGGCCGCCGCCGGAGCAGGGGGGGGCACGCCCGGCCTGAAGTCGGGGGTGCCCCCCTACAGGGGGATTTTGGGCGAAAAATCAAGCATACCCAAAACATATCCCCAACATGTTGTTTGGTTACGATATATGTGTGTATATATGTGAAATATACATACATACATACATACATACATACATACATACATACATACATACATACATACATACATACATACATACATACATACATACATACATACATATACATACATACATACATACATACATACATACATACATACATACATACATACATACATACATACATACATACATACATATAGAGGTGTGTATATATAATATATTGAAAATATAATATAAAAGATCGTCCCCAGACTATGCTTGGACTATTTTCGAATCTCCCTGTCGAGGGGCAGGCCCGACTTCGAGCCCCGCCGCGAGAGCTCCGGGCGGGCCTCCGCGAGGGCTCGTTGCCTCTGCCGCGCGCTTCGAAGGTCCCTCGGGAGCCCTCGCCGCGGCCCTCGGCGCCGCTCCCTCGCGAGGCCTCGCCGCGGCCCTCGGCGCCGCTCCCTCGCGAGGCCTCGCCGCGGCCCTCGGCGCCGATCTGCGGGCTCAGGACCAGCCTCGGGACGGAGGGGCAGGGGAGGGCGGTCCCTGACCTCCTGGAGTGCTAAGAATGAGCGCTCCGGACCTATATATCTATATATATATATATATCGATCTGGACTGCCCCAAGCCTCGACAAGGATCCGGGACGTCGACGTCCTGGTGCTATTTCTTGGCCCTCCTGGGCTGGCGGGGGAAGCCGGCGAACCGGCTCCAGTGACCAGTCCGCCCAGCGCCTCCCGTGAGGCCCTGGCGCCGTCGCCGTTCGCCACGGGCGAGCTGGCCTTCTGTCCGGCCCTGGGGCCCTCACCCGGGTCGGGCGAAAGGGGAGGATAGCAAAGGGGGGGGTTGAGAATCAGCTCACGTAGCTGATTTTCCCGGCGCCTCCCCGCGCCAGAGGCTGCCATGTATCGAGGAATGGGCCCCTCGGTGGGGCCGAAACCAGCTGCATGCAGCAGATTTCGTAACCCCCCCTTTCCCAATCCCCACCTTTCGCCCGGCCCGATCTCTGGCGCCCGCTGGGCCGCCGCCGCGACGCGCGCAGCAGAAGTTCCTGAACGTGTGCCCATGCAGCGATCCTGGACAGGCCGACCTTGGGCCCCGAGCCGGTGTGCAAGGCCTCCAGGCTCCCGGCCAGGAGGGTGGATGCACCGATCTGGACGCCCGAAAGATTGCAAAAAAAAAACCGAAGGATTGCAAAACAAAAACCCAAGGATTGCAAACAAAACGCAAGAGTTGTTTTTGTTTGCAATCCTTTGTTTTTTTTTGCAATCCTGGTTTTTTTTTGCAATCCTTCGTTCAGGTGCGGAAAAAAATGGGTACACTGCCCAACAACACATGTTGTCCCAAACCAACCGCGGCCGCTGCTGGGCAGGCGGCCTTCTGTCTCAAATGTACACAGGCCGCGGCGGCGCCGACAGCGAGTCCTGTTCAAAATAATCAGGAACTACTGTTGTGCATTGTACCCATTCTTTCCGTACCCATGCCGGTCGTCCCGAACGGCCGGACGAAACGGGGGGGGCAGGGGTCGCGGCTGAGCGTTTTCGGCTCTTCTCCTTGGTTCCTGAAGGCTTTCCTGCCTTGGCACGCATGCTTTCCAGCGGCAACTGGGAACCTCCTGGATGCGGTCGTAGTAGATGGGGTCGGGCGATCGCGCCGCATCGGCGATGCACTGGCGATGCACTGACGATGCACCGTCGACGTGGGCGATGCCTCGGCGACGCCGACGTGAAGGAGATCGGGCTCCACGTCGAGCCGCATCGGCGATGCATCGACGAGGCTGCGCGATCCTCCGACCCCGTCCACTCCGACCCCAACCAGGAAGCTTGGAACCTCGACGGTCATCGGCAGCTTCATCCGTGTCTGGGCCTCGTGCTCAACCTGCAACCCACGAAAACAGGGTTTGCGATTATTCGCCGACCGCCTTGGGCCAATGGCACGCGAAGCCTCCCAACGAAGGCAGTGTTTTACGTGTTCGTTTTGGCTTCGTGTTCCTTCGTGCTGTCTTCGTCCCGCCTCTGCTCCAAAACGACATCGAAACGACAACCGGCTCACGACAGTGCCAGAGAACACCGTTCAGGTCGAGCCCTGCTCCACACCCCGACCTAGCCCGATGGCCTGCACGCCTGGGACCGCGGGCCGAGTCCAGAGCAATCGCCGGGAGGACACGGACGCCAAAGCACCAGGCCTCCGATGTGGCTTTCGCTGTGGACATGTCCGGAGGTGCGTATTCTGCGGCGTGGCCGCCTCCGAGCTGCGTCCCCAGGCCGACGCTCGGGAGACGGGGACGCCCCGCCCGTCGTGGGCGCCTCCTCACGGCCACTCGGGAGGTCGGGGGTGGGAGGCCCTGACCTTCCAGCAGGGCTACACAAATAGCACAAGGACGTCGACGTCCCAATGCCTGTCGAGGTTTGGGGCAGTCCAGATGGATCTATACAGGTCTGGGGTGTTAGTTTGTAGCACTCTGGAAGGTCAGGGGGGTTGGGGGCTCGGCCAGTCGGGGAGTCGGAGAGTCGGGGGGTCAGCCAGTCGGTCAGTCGGGCAGTCGGGGAGTCGGGGTGTCGGGGGGTCGGCCAGTCGGTCAGTCGGCCAGTTGGGGGGTCGAGGAGTCGGGGGGTCGGTCAGTCGGTCAGTCGGCCAGTCGGCCAGTCGGGGAGTCGGGGAGTCGGGGAGTCGGCCAGTCGGGGAGTCGGGGAGTCGGGGAGTCAGCCCAGCACCGACACCGCTGCTCCCCGGATCCTATAGGGGAACGAAGAAAGACATGAACCCTAAAAACTCGGAGGTCCGCGTGGATTTCTCGGATCCGGGCTGGACCTCCCTGGCGGCGCCTCGGGGGATCCAGCGCCGATCCGAGAAATCCACGCGGACCTCCGAATTTTAATGTTTATGTCATTATCCGTTCTCCTAGGATCTCTCCAGGGGTTCTGCTCAGACCTTCGTGTGGAGCCCACCCGCGGCGACGAAGGATATCCAGGACGAGCAGTGGCACCGGTCTCTCTTTGGTATTGGTCAGGCTTCGGGTTGCAGCGCACGGACAGCCCCCCCCCAAAGACAGTCCCGGTTGGCCTCAAGAGGCCACCCGATTAGCCCCAGCTGGCCTCAACAGGCCGCCCGAGTAGTCTTAAGTCGGGCCTGTCCCCCTACAGGGGGATTGTGGACGAAAAATTAAAGATACCCCAGAAGATACCCTGAAAATGCCCCAAACATGGTCAACACATAGTCCCCAGACTATTTTTGGGGCAATTTTTGCATGTCCCTCCTGTAGAGGGACATGCCCGACTGAAGAGCAGCCTGGGGCGATCTCAACACCGCCGCCCTGAGGCGCGGCCCGCGGCCACGGCGCGGCTCGACTGCTCGGTGCCCTCCCGTCGCCCGCACACCAGGGTTAACCCCTGGAGGCAGGAGTGCCCTGTGGTGCCCACCTGCCAGACCACCCCAACCTGACCCCAAGACCCAAGTTTCGGGTTTGGGGGGGGGGTACGGGTTCCACATGTGCTCTTCCGATGCTCCCCGACTCCCCCCTAAGTATACCGAAGCAATACAACAAAATAGACCAACAAGAATAAACATACCCCAAACATACCATAAACATACCATAGTCATGCCCCAAAATGGTCAAACAAATGTCCCCATACGATTTTTAAACCATTTTTGAGCGTCCCTTCTGTAGAGAGACATGCCCCAAAAGATAACATACCCCAAAAGATACCCTAAAAGATACCCTAAAAGATACCCTAACAGATACCCCAAAAGATACCCCAAAAGATACCCTAAAAATGCCCCCAAATTGTCAAAACATAGTCCCCAGACTATTTTTGACTATTTTTGGATATCCCTCTATTTTTGACTATTTTTGATTATTTTCAAACCATTTTTGAGCATCCCTCCTGGAGAGGGACGTGCCCGACTTAAGAGAGTAGTCCGGGGCGGTCTCAACACCGCAGCCCCGGGGCGCGGAGCGCCCCCTTAAGGGCGCCAACCTGGGAAGTCCTCGAGGCCTCGCGCGGCGCGTAGTTCTAGTATCATCTATGGGACGCACATGGACATACTAGTACTATATGTCCTCCTTGGAGGCGCGCGTCCGACCCGAACATATAGTATACCCATCTTGTAGTATATCGTTTCCCGAGCGGTGTGGCCAGAAAGCGCACGCCGCGACGCATATACTATAAGATTTCTCGGTGCGCGCGTCGCCCCTGGGGGGGCGACGCACATACAGTATAAGTATGTCGGGGTGATGCCGAATCTAGTCCACGCGTCAGCTCCGTGAGCTATTGGTCGACGCTCCCGCGGCGATGTTCCGGAGTCAGTCCGACGCGGTTCCGACGCAGTCCGACGCGAGCCCGGGGTAAATCCGGCGTGGATCTGACATAAATGGGGTCTCAGGTTGCTCGGAAACTGGAGCATATACATTACCAGTGGCAGGCTGGTTTTTCCAATCCCAGGACTTTCTGAGGGTCGGGGGACGACGTCGGGGTGGTGTGGTGTATCTGTATACTTTTCCCCCGAAACCAAAGGGAAACAGCGAAAAATGTATACACCATGATCCCGTATACGCCAGGATCCGCGTTCCTGTGCGAATTTCAGCGGAGGGTCGGAAAAAGCGTCGGTGTATAGAGCTCGTTTCCCGAATATCTTCCCTCCCATCTGGCGTTGCGCAAACCCTACAACGCTGCAGGGAATCACCTCCGGAGCACCAGGGCCCATCTTTCGGCGCCATGTTTCGAGCCAGATCGACATGCGAGGACCCCCCCGTGGCCCGACACTGGGCGAGGAACGCCCGGCGTGACAAAGGCTGCAGCGCCAGGATCTCGGACTCCGCGGTCCGCCCGCGGCGTGCGTGGCGGCACGGGATGCGTTCCGCGCGAGGCACCCGCGAAACCAACACAGACTACCCGCGGGGTCGCGGTCGAAGGGCCTGGCCCGCGAGGGCGCGGGTACGAACATGTCTTCGCCAACGACATCTGGGAGCAGAGGCCGACCGTCCCAGCATTCCTACACAGGCCTACCACCAACATGTCGCCGAACAGAGGAATCCTCTTCGTACAAACGAGGTGTTCGCATAACGTGAACCGATGGGTTGAAACGAGACTGTCTCGACCAGGAATGTTCTGATAACATTTCGTGCAAACGACAAGCGGTTTTTAGAACCTTCATTGGTGGCTCTATAAGCCAGTCAGGACGCTTCGCCCCTGCTTGAATCCTGTCCCCTCCCAGCAGCAAAAGCTGGTCCCCTGGAGGCCCAAAGCGGTCAGAAACCAGCGCCTGCATGTTTTCAGTGCGCCGGATCTCTGGGATGTTTTCCTCTCTGGTTCTGTCCTGGGACATAAAGCCGATGCATTAGAACAAGACTATCTCAGCCAGAATTGTACTAAGAACATCCCGTGAAAGCTATAAGCGGTTTTGGAACCTTCCTTGGTGGGTTCGGTCAGGACGTTTTGCCACTGCTTGATCGGATCATGGCACGACTCACAGAAAGGACAATCTTTCATCTGCGTCTCGGGGCCATTCGAAAGCCTTGGGACCCTCAAGCAGCGCCTCAGGCTGAAACGCCGGTCCCAGGGGAGGGGTCCAAACCTCACTGGGCTCCACGCTACGAAGAAAATCATGACGTCGGGGGGGGTCTGAGGCCCGCGGGGGGGCCGACGACGCGCAGGGAGACTCCGGCTCTGCTCGCGCCGCCCCGATGCCCCTGCGCGATCAAGATCAGCGCGGGGCAGCAGAGGAGAGAGGGAGAGGGAGAGAGGGGAGGAAGCGAGAAAGATAATTAGAGAGATAGAGGGGATCTTCTCGGCGGCGAGCGAGGGGGGGAAGTGACAAGGAGAAGGCCTTCTCAGATGACTCGGAAGCCGCTCGGCCTTCTCAGAAGTTCTCCGAGCTTTCCCCGAAGACGCAGAAAACCTGTCAGCAGGTGCGAGGGCTTCAGAAGCCCCAGCGCCCTCTGCAGATTCTCCCTCTCGCATCCGACGCCTCGCTCGCCGCCGACAGAGGAGACAGGGAGAGATAGGGAAGCGAGAGAGACAGAGAGGTCGGGGGCGGCCAAGACGGGGGCGCCCAAGAGGGGCGCGAATCGTGGCTGGCGGCGCGTGCGCGGCCCAAGGTGGGGGGGGGATCCGGGGACGCATTGGGACAAAGAAGGGGCGCCATGAAATCTGGGAAGATCGCAGGGCCCCCGCCACGAGATCCCCCTCCAGCCATCACTCCCCTCTTGGCCGCCCCCGGCTGGGGAAGGGGCGAGACGGAGAAGGAAGGGGGCTGCGAGGATGGGCCGGGGCGAAAGGCGCGCGAGGGGGAGGCTGGACGTAAGAGGGAGATGCTTGCGGGAGGTGGGCGACGACGACGACGACGAGGGGCATCTTTAGAGGCCTCCTAGATGGGGTCCGAGTAGATGGGGTCGAAGCATCGCGCAGCATCGCCAATGCATCGCCGATTTATCGGCGATGCATCGGCGACCTCGGCGACGCATCGGTGACGTCGGAGTGGGGAAACACGGGCTCCACATCGAGCCGCATCGCCGATGCATCGGCGGTGCGGCGCGATCCTCCGACCCCGTCTGCCCGGACCCCATCTAGGAGGCCTAAAATCCCTGAGATCCGATGTCGTGCTTTTTCAATACGGGGCCCTCGGAAGTCGCGACCCATTCCCCAGGACCAGTTTGTCATCCTGAGTCCTTTTTTGACAATCCCGAGGCCCGGCGAGGGCCCCCGGAGGCCGAACACTGCGCAAAACGTCCGTCTTGATTTTTGTTCATAAGTTGGATCTCTGGGATATTTTCCTCCCCAAACAACCGAGGCTGGCCCTCGCCGAACGCCGCCGGGTGCGGGTGCTGGTCCCCCTCCGCGGCCACGGCCCGCGGCGCGGTGGGCGGCGCCTCCCGGCGCGGCGGCCTGCCGGCCTCGCCAGCGGCGCTGCCGTGCTGGCGGGAGTCGCCGGCGCGGGCCTTCACGGGGGAGGGGGAGGAGGAGGAGGAGGAGGAGGAGGAGGAGGAGGAGGAGGAGGAGGAGGAGGAGGAGGGAGGAGGAGGAGGAGGAGGAGGAGGAGGAGGAGGAGGAGGAGGAGGAGAGGAGAGGAGGAGGAGGAGGAGGAGGAGGAGGAGGAGGAGGAGGAGGAGGAGGGAGCGAGGAGGAGGAGGAGGAGGAGGAGGAGGAGGAGGGGGAGGAGGGGGAGCGGGGAGGAGGAGAGGGAGCGAGGAGGAGGAGAAGGACCATCGCACGGCTTCGGAAGGGGTTCGACTTCGCTTACTGCGACTCGAGCGCCTGGGCTGCCTGGGTGGCAACCGCATCGATTGAAATCGGAGGCATGAAGACAATGGGACTCGTCTTAGAGGCCCGTGGATGTCTCCCCTCCTGGAGGCGCGCAGGGGCGCCTTCTGAAAAGTGTGACTTGAATTTCCTGAGACAACTCTTCTGGAGGCTCTTCACAGTACACTCTGAATAACTGCCGCACAGGTGACATGCAACAATAAAACTCTCGTCAACAAAACTGTCGTAAACAAAAAGCTTGTGTCCATTGGGCTGCATGTCTAGCTTAGCTAGTCTAGCAGCATTGCCTGGGTACCTTTCCTTATCGCGTGAAACCTTTACTTTGTCAGAGCGGCAACGCGAGTGGCATACGCAGCAGAGCCAACGATTCTTCTGCCACGCCCAGACGTGCCCGACGCGAGCACGGGCGGCCCGAAGGGGGCGGGGAGGGGGAGGAGCCGCCGCAGCTCCAGAGCCCGAGGAGCCCCCTGAGTTAGCTCCGCCTTGCCACACTTCCGCGATTGAGCCAGCTCCGACAACGAGGTTGGTGGCCTTCACAGGCCCCTCCAGGGCCTTTCCCCCAACCCTCGGCGCAATTGGAGGCCACAGCACTAGGGCCTTCGGCACAAACCGAAGGAACCTTCGAACACGCTGGTCGAGCAGCTGCTGGGCGTCACGCTCGTTGGCCGAGGGCTGGGGGAGGCGAGAGGCAGCTAATTTGGCGACTCTGTCGGCTGCATCGTTTCCCAAGGCATGGCGCCACTCTTCAGAGTAGCGCTCAAGGGAATCTACATCTTGATGGGCTTTGACCTTGGCTACTTCGAAACCCCCGTCGCGGCTGGCTTCTCCAAGCTTGGCCATAGGAGGAGGAGAAGGAGGAGGAGGAGGAGGAGGAGGAGGAGGAGGAGGAGGGAGGATTTTACCTGTGACATTACGGATGCCAGGCCCAATCTGGGGGGGGAGGATGGGAGGAGGTGGTTAAAGAGGAGGAGGAGAAGGAGGAGGAGGAGGAGGAGGAGGAGGAGAAGGAGGAGGAGGAGGAGGGGGAGAGGGAGGAGGGGGAAGGGGGAAAAGAAAACATCTCGTTCTGCCTTGCTCGGCCCGCTGTCCGTGCGCGTGGCCACGCTGCGGGCGCGAGCGCGCGCCCTCCAGCCTGGGCAAGAAAAGGGGGCGAGGAAGGAGAGGGGGGGAGGGCTACTGTTAGCTCGGGCACGTCCTTCCACAGGCAGGTTTTGGACGAATAATGAAACGTACTCAACAAATGACCCCCAAATAATCCATCATCGCGAAATCGTCCCCAGACTACTTTTTTTACTATTTTTGGATACGCCTCCTGTAGGGGGGACAGGCCCGCCGTAAGGCCACCGAGCTCCCGCACTGGGACGCGCGCTGCCCCCGCCACCGCAGGGGCCACGCCCCTCGGGCCGCGGGGGCCCCGGGGCTCGACAGTGAGGGGCCGGGGCCTCCCCCGACCGCGCGGTGCTCGACGAGGGCCGCCACCCGCGAGGGTCGCCGAGCCCCGTGGCGCAGGGCGTTCGGCTCGGCAGCGGGTTCTCCCGAGGTTGACTGCGCACCGGATCACCTCCGGCATCATGGAAGAAACCGAACACTCTGATCTCCGCAGGGTCTGGAAGAACGGTCGCACCTCGAGCGTCGGCAGCAGTAAGAACGCCTCCGGCTCCACGAGTGTATGCAGCGCCCCGATGCTAGAGTACAGCGCTGGCACCTGCAAGAGGAGGAACGACTGCACCAAGAAGAGCGGCACCATATTCGGAACGAAACTCCGCAAGTAGAGCAGCGGCCCTGGCGAGATGTTTAACAAGAGCGGGTGCATCAATAATCATGGTACAACAACCACGCCTCCAAAAACAAGACGGTCACGAACCTCCGCAATGCCAAGAAGGCCAGCAACAACACTACCGTCAGCAACATCACGTACGCCCGCAGCTGCGCAAACGTGTCTGCTCAACCACGGGCTTCATCGCCACGATGATCGCGACCCCCTCGAAGTCCGGGAATGCGTCGCAGCATAACAAGGACGACGCAGGCGCCAGAAGAAGACTTCTGCCTATGATCCGACGCCACAACCGCAGGAAACTTAGAAAAACAAGTGAATGAGCCAGCTGACCAGGAAACCGTTGCTCACCTCCTGGCAACACTCGTGCATGAGGCGGATGTGCAGAACAGCCTTTCAAAGAGTGAGTTGAAGACGAAGTGCGCTGTACGGCCTTGAGGCAGCTCCTGAACTAGCCATTCGAGCCGTGCCAGCGTGGCCATCCAAGGTGAAACGAGCCAGAGAAGCAGAGAGACAGCGAGCACACGTGCGCGAAATGGGCCTTCACCCCATCAAACGTTAGAGTTCGAATAGCTTTAGCCGTTGCTGCGAATGATGATGATGATGATGATGACGATGATGTTGGGCATGATGATGCTGATGATGAGCATGATGATGAGTATGCTGATGGTGATGATGAGGATGATACTGATGATACTGAGGTTGCTGATGACGATGAGGATGCTGATGGTGATAAGGATGATGCTGCTGATGGTCCTGAAGATGATTATTACGATGATGCTGGTGATGGTGGTGATGCTGCTGATGCTGCTGCTGCTGACGACGACGACGATGATGATGATGACGACCACGACGACGATGACGACGACGACGATGAAGATGAAGATGAAGATGATGATGATGATGATGATGATGATGATGATGATGATGATGATTAGATTAGATTAGATTAGATTAGATTAGAACCCATCGGAGGCGACACCGTCTCTCCCCCGTGCCCGAACGCCTCTAGGATCGGGCTAAACCCGAGCTTAAGTATGCGATGCGCGACCACGCATCTCGCGGCACACTACCACGTTCGGTAGTTACCGCGATGCCCCCGAGAGAAGTCGAAGCACGGCTGACTGGTCAGCCTGGCTCCAGCGCTCAGAAAACCTAGAGCCCTGTAGGGCTCTACCCTGGTCCCTAGACGCGCCTCCAGAAACAGCACGCGCTCCAGGGGCCGTGGAGGGCCTCCGAGGCCGCACGGGTCCTGGGGTCTCCACTGGGCGTGGCGGTACCAACTGGAGCCGAGGTGTGGAGGTGAAGCAGGTGAGAGGGGGCTCATCAGGCCGAGAGGAAGGGGTGGGGGTCTCCAGAGTCCTACTGGCAGCCTGTCGGACACGGGGGTGGAGGGTCGGAGGAATCTGCGAGGAGGAGGGAGGAGTCACCTGGGCCTCACGTGCAACCTCACAGAGCCTTCTCACCACGGCATCCTGGCGCCGTCGTTTCTCCTCTGGCCCCTCGTGCAGTGGTCCTGCGCCTGGCATCTGTGTACGGCCTAGTCCACTATGCCTCCTTCGAGCTCGTGCAGGCCCCTGTGGATCAGCCTCTCTAAGTGGCCCATCGGGGCCATCCCCTGTTTGTAGTCTGCCCCTGCCTGGGCCAGGGCCTCCAGCACGGGGGTCAGGTTCACTCGACTCCCGAACGACAGCACCAGCTTCACCTTGCCCTCCTCGTAGCAGTCCGAGAGCTTCGCCATCGGCACTACTTCGCCCATCTCGTGAACGGTCAGCTTCGCCAGCTCTTCCTTCAGAGTGCTGAGTTGTTGCTGGTTCGCGCGGCCCACCGCGCTTCCCTCTGCCAGCAGCCCCTCGAACACTCCCGCGAAGCATGCCGCCGAGATCGTACCCATCTGCTTGATCTTCACTTGGCCCTGCTCCTTGTCGTTGCCTGCGCGGATCTCCTCGGCGGCGCGAACCCACGCTCGCACTCGTCCCCGCGCCTTGACCGCCGGCTGCAGCCCTGACGACATGAGGAACGTCTTCAGCTCGATCGACTCGATCTGCCTCTGGCGGTGCGCCAGGTTCAGCAGCAAGCGCATCATCGCGGGAAAGAACTTCTGCATGGTCGACACCTCTATCTCGTCTCCGTCGAGCTCGCTGAGGTCCACCAGCTTCGTGTCCTTCCTCGGCGCCTTCTCGTTGCCGCCGCCTTGCCTGCAGTATTGGCCGCCTTGGCGGTCTGGGGGCCGCTCTTGCGCCCTCCCTTGGCCGTCTTCCTCGGCCGTCCTTCGGCGTCGCCCTCGGCTATCTCGGGCAGCCCCTGCATCCACGACATGCGGCCGAGGTTGAGGAAGATGAGTAGTGCGAATGTGGTGCTGCAGGGCTTGAAGATCATCAAAGTCTTGGCCACATCCTGTCTCGGGGCACTCAAACAGCAGCGGAGCGATGACAGCATGATTGAACGCCGAGAAGTCAGCAATGCATCGTCCATGTCTATATGCAGCAGCGATGTGGTTGATGGCAGTGCGGCGACAATCGAACGAGGACAAACACGAAAGACACTGATTCGTCACTGTCAATCTCGTGAAGAAGTTCAGTTTTCCGTGCTCTCCTCCGCCTGCGTGTGTCTGATGCGCACGAAGCGCCGCCATTGTGCGAAACCTACGGTTGCACTCCAGACCCTCTCCGTCGAGCAGCGAACACAGAAAACCGCCCTCGAAGCACTCCTGATCCTCGCGCGGCCTCGTGGGAGTAATGGTGGGGCGCTCAAGCCAGACCTTGCGGAGCTTCGCTACATCGAACTTGAGAAACCGCCGCATCAGTTCTGCGTCCAGGAAAACCTTCATGTGATCGCCCCCCACCGTCTCCAGGAAATCCAGGCCCCCTCGAAGCTTCCCAAGGAGAAACATGTCGTTCTTGT